CTGTTACACTGCGAGAGACGATCTGCATTGTTCGGCGTCGATGGGTGTTGCAAACACATAACTATTCTTCAATCGAACTTCTTTTTAGGAATGTGATAGGGCTGTCAGACGGTCCTCTGCGAAGATGGGACCACAGAAGTCGAAGTTACGTCTTGCTCAGTGGTTCTCGTATATTACTGGTGATGCTCGTACAGTAGAACATTGCTTGATTATAGCGGTTCAGCAGCAGAGATGTACAACACTACGAGGACACATCAGAATAGAACCAGTTATATGTCCTTGATCACGACACACCATTATTCCCGCGAATGAATGCGTCCCCGTATCGATTTGTAACCAATCCATTGACATGCTCCTCAGTCTGCTCCAGAGCGATATTCATATATCCATCTAGACAAGAAAGAACGCCTACACGTATAAAATATGAGCTTGGGTCTTATGCACGAGATGGTAGGAAAGATCATACCTCGATAATCGACGCCTGATGTAAGACGGACGATGACCTTTTTCCCGACTACGCCCTTCAAGAAATCGGTTGGAGTGCCTGATGGTGGAGCTGGAGGCGGGGGAGCCTCGATATCTGGAGGGGGAGGAGTTGACTCATCCATATCGTGCATGATGAAGCTGAGGAGAGGATTTACAGGATTTGGACTTGTTTGGTTTTCGTATGTTCAAAGCCACTTAGTCTCCACTGGCAAAAGGCCAGCTCACAGTGAGAACCTAAATGATTGCTCGACGAGAGAACCAGCGACGAGCAGAAAACGTACAGCAATGTGTACAATCAAGTTAGTCGTCATTGGCGCTTCAAGCGTAGGCAAGACCTCTTTTTGTCGTCAGGTCAGTGTTCCGCGTCTCAATGATCATTGTCTCTCTCATCGTACGCGCAGTACCATACATGTCTGCGTATCGCACAACTATTATCGCAGATTTCGTCACGAAATACAATCCTAACCCCAGAACCTAAGCGAAATTATATCCCGTCAAATTTGGGTATGTTTCCTTTCATATAATGCATTGACGCTTCTTTACGCCCACGATAGGATATGGGTTTCGCTTTTCCTCCTCTCATTTGTGACGCACGAAAGTGCCCCAGTACACGCACCCCTGCGCCTTAGACTAATCTCTCCACCAAGTCTACCTTTACCGTGCTCGTCAACGTCCAGAAAATGGCGCAACTCATTCCAAGCACCATACCTGGTCGATATTTTGAAGACCACGGAGCACGCATATCCGCAGTCGCAGTTTTCTCTGATACACGATGTACGGTCACATGCTCGGATGACAAGATGCTTCGTCTGTGGGACTTGACGGCAGGTGTGGTGTTGAAGAAGATGGAGGGGCATGGCTGTCCGGTGCAGGCATTGGCGGTATCACGAGATGGACGGTTGATATCAAGCGGTGATACCAATGGAGAACTCATTTCATGGGATGGAAAACCGGCGAACATTACGTCGGCCGATATAGGGAAACTTGCCAACCTACCAGTGTCCACACCGATTGGATATTATTACTGGACTTTTGTTCAGACGGCAAAGTGCTGGCCAGTGAGTCATCAGACTCGACGACGACGCTGTGGAACACAAACGTGGAAGCTAGAAGGAAATGCAATTAGCTGTGGTGCAATCGTCCATTGCGTTCGGTGTTCACCGTCACATCCCATACTTGCAATTGTTACAGAGCACAATATCCAAATGTACCACGCTGGCTACGATAAATGGAGCTACTACACCAACTTACAACGACCCGAGCTATTATTACTTCCAGGCTCATCACACGGCGACGATCAGTGAAGGACACAACTACTCACTCGCCTGGACGCCCGACGGGCGCCTACTCACAGGGGGAGATCATCAATATCCCACCATACGAGAGCGGGTCCAGGATTCATCACCAGTGTCGACTTAGAAGCAGGTCGGCGATCCCTTGAAGGGCCATTTCAACACTAACAGCACTCTCCTTGCCTCGGCATCTCATGACAATCATGTCCGCCTCTGGCGGCTCTCAAATCGACGAACCATTGCCGTATTCAAGCACTCTGGCGAGGTGAACTGCGTCACCTTCTCCGCAGATGACAAGCTCATCCTCAGCGGAGGCTTGGATTAGAAGATCTCAGAGTGTCCATCATCCGAGGACGCATTGCCAGAGGATTATCCAAAGGATGGTCTCATGAACGAACAGATGACATAGCAGGTAAGTTGGTTTTCATTTTCCCGCTCCTTCGTTGTCTGACTATGCCAAGGGGTCAAACCTACACTGATTCTAAGGCATGCTCCCTCCTTTGACTCTGATCACCCAATGTGAACATGCTTCATGCAGATCCTTGCTATTAGCTCGGCCGCCCGCAATGTGTGCATGACCGGGGACTTGCCTACTGCTGAAAAGATCCTAAGTCTAGAGATCGGTGGTCACACTTCCTACTTTAATCATGCATTTGTAATGGCGCGAAAATACGACTGGGACCACGCGCTTCGCGATGCAACGCAGGCGAGATAGACTGACCCATCACGGCCCCCTTACGAATGCTAACTTCAATGGTGACATAGTCTCTCAATATTCAGCCCTCATTTTCAGGCTGTTCTCTAAGGGCATTTCCCTCTGCGGAAAACAGCAGGTCCGGGTCGCGAGGACGTCCATGTTCGCGAGCGGAGATTTGAAAACCGATCCATTTCTGTTTTTCATCAAGGTAAGTGGTACTTTTCTTACATCCTCCATACTTCATTGCGATTATTAGAACATCGCGCCATTCAATACAAATGAACATGAAGAGGTGATGCAGCGCGTCGAAGAGCTATCTATGTGTCCCAATGCCGATCCTCTTGCTTATCGTACCGTGGAAGCGAGTATCACGCACCCGATAACGCCCAGGTTTGTGTAGGCACTGATATTTTTTGCCCTTCGCACATCAGGCGTATCTACGCGTCCAACTAGGAAACATTGCCTTTGATGGCGCGCGCAACAACGAAGCTGTTGACCACTTCGCTGCTGCCGTCAGCGCTGGTGCTTTCTTTTATAAATTGGGCATTCATTCTACGTATGAGGAATCTATCGTGGTACGTCGATATGATGCAACTGAGTATCCTTTCCATGCTGAACTGCGTTTTTTTACAGCTGTTCGGCTGGGTCCTTGAGTCCTTTTGGCAACCGCACATCAGCAGCACTGTCATGCACTCTTTCGGGCAGGTAGAATTGGAGCAGCCATTGAATCGTTTCAATCCATCATAGACAAGAGTGATGATATTACAAAGACCAGCTTAAGTGTTTGGTTCAGTGGTAAGCTATCAGTAATGTTACCCCGTCTACAACTCTCAACCGCACTTCGCTCAGCTCTCCAGTAAGAACGAAGTGCGCTCTATGTTTCCAATAAAAAAAGAAGCTACGGCAAGCGGTTACTCATGCAGGAAACACAGGTCTTCGAGTTTCATTTGCACCTTGACAGCATGTGTATTACAGGGAAGGCTTCAAGTGTATTGAAAGGACATTGCAACGCTGTGTATGTATTGGTGATAACATGAGATAGTCAAGTGATAGCGAGCGGTGATCAGAGCGAAGAGCTTATCACCTGATATGGAGACACCGGCGAACCCATGCATCATGCGGCTCACAATATTCGCTCCTTTTAAAGACTAGTCATCAGTCGCAGCAGAGGATTGCGAGAGGATTTGGACTGGTTCGGTTTTCACTGGGAACGCCAGCATTTGTGAGAGATGCGAACTAAATGATTGCTACGAGAGAACCAGCGACGAGCAGAAAACGCATAGCGATGCGTACAGTCAAGTTCGTCGTCATTGGCCCTTCAAGCTTCAGGTGCAGGCAAGACCTCTCTCCGTGAGGTCAGTGTTCCGCGTCTCAATCATTGTCTTTCTCATCTAATACCGTATGCAGTACATATCGGGTCGTTTCTCCACTACCGCGCAACCATCGGCGCAGATTTTATCACGAAATCCCTTCATGATCCCAAAAGCGAGGCGGTGTCTCTCACATTGCCGAGCAGGGCGGTGCCCACTTTTTTTATACCTCCGGTTAAAGGCTTCCTGCAAGTCTCCGGATGTCTCGGCGGTGTCTCGTGATTATCATCATGTAACAGGAAGCATAACATTACTCCTTACTGTCAGTGACAGAGAACCCCGTGCATCGTAAGATTGTTCCAGATCACCAATCATCTCTTCCTCACGCAGAGTGACATTTTGCACAGAGTTCAACGTTCGACCTCCCGCTTCTGTTCTCATTCACAATACCATGTTATTACATTCGTCACTTACATTGGCGTTGTTCCGCTGCGCTGCAACATCGCTGAGACTCTAGTGCGTATAGCTTCCAGCCATTGTAACTTGACTATTTGTGACTACAGCTCCCCCTAACTTGCTGCCCGTAAACGTACATGCCTGGCGCTCTTTTGCGGGGATCCAATCAAGTACGCAATCAAACCCTAACTTAAATCTCACCGCGCTGGCAAAACTTTTTAGCGCGCTCAAACTTGAGCGAGTTTACGTTAGAAGCGCTGATTCCAGCACTTTTCAGAGCTGTGTACTTGCATTCTATTGGTAATTTCTTTTGTGTCGAGTGTGCTAACTGCTAAGCGGACGCAGAAATCACCGAGACACAGCGCTAGTGGGAACTGATTAAAATATTATCCGTTGATGAAGCATCCCACGGACCGACTGAAGTAGTAAGCGCTGGAATTGGACGACTCTGGTCACAGAGGACGCGTCTTCTGATTCCTCCAGAATCTCCTTTTTGTGACATTACGCAATCCTAACAAAACCTGCGAGAGAAAGGGCGTGCGCCGATGCAGCGGGGCATTATTATGCGGAGAAGCTGTCTACCAACGTTCACATGCCATGGGGTACATTTGAACGGAGTCAGGTCTTTAAAGAATCAATCAAATGGTATGCGGTGATCGGAAAGATGATGGTGCGGCAAGCTCCTATTTTCGCATTCATATGACATGACGGCATTCGGCACTTACAAGGTGGGTTGCTGACTGCCTAAACTGAAGAACAAATGTACCTACTATCCCAGCGATGCCAAAGCTGTGACCGGTGGAACGGGTGCTACTCGTAATTCCCAACTTGAAACATTCCGGAGAACTTGGACTCTGTCCGCGTTTTTGTGAAGCGTGAGCATAGGTATGACTCTGAGGGTCATATCGTTAGATTACGTGCATTCATCCTCAGTTTTCCTCGTCAGCTTTTGTTCAGCTTAACCACAATGAACGCCTCCATCTTAATCTTCGCTCTTTGACGAACTCGGAGTATGTCCGAATTTTGCATAGTTCAACATCATCGGCTAAATTGCAACAGGTCAGAGGATGGCAATCCGCCAGACAACTGTGGGGGCGGTGCCGACATTTTTTCTAAAGACTTCCCTGCAAGTCTCCGAAGGTCTCGGCAGGATTATTATTTTTTCGTTCTTTTAGGTCTCGTGATTCTCATTATATAACAGCAATCATTACTGTTATGACAGAAAGGAAACTTCGTTCATCGTAGGATTTATTCATCTCTTCATCACGTACATTGACATTGTGGACAGGGTTCAACGTTCGACCTCCCTTCTGTTCGCATCCACTATGCTATGCTATCACATTCGTCACTTACATTAGCAATGTTCCGCCACGCCGCAACCTCAATGAGACTCTACTCTAGTGCGTGTAGCTTCCAGAAGTTCTAGCCATCGTAACCGTGACTCGACTATCTGTGACTGTAGGTCCCCCTACCTTGCTGCATGTACATGTACATGCCCGGCGCTCTTAGAATCTACTAGCATCCAAGCAAGCACGCAATCAAATTCTCACTAAAGTCTGATCAAACTCAAGCAAATTTACTTTGTTAGAAGCGCTGATTCCAGCGCTTTTCAGAGTTGTATCCTTGTGTTCTATCTGCAATTTCTTTTGCGTGGGTGTGCTAAGCGGGTGCAGAAATCACCGAGACACAGTGTCATTGGGGATCGATCAAGAGATTCTCCGCTGGCTGAGGTGGTAAGCACTGGTGTTGTAGATCTGAGAACGACCTGGTCACTGACGGGTGTCTTCTGGTGGGCCTCCAGAATCTACTATTCGCGACGTTGCGCAGTTCCGACTCTGAGAAAATGTGCGAGAACTGGTGTGTACCGATCCCGTGAACCGACTGAGGTGGTAAGCGCTGGATTTATAGATGAGAACGACACTGATCACTGAGTGCGTGTCATCTGGTGCCTTCAGAATCTCCTAGTTTTGCATTACGGAATTCTGACTCTGGTGCGAGCAAGGGGATGTGCCGATACAGCGGAACATCATTCCACAGAAGCCTGTCTTCCAACGTTCCACTAGTCATAGGGTACATCTGGACGGCATCATATCTTCAAGTAAACAATTAAAATGATGCGCAGTGATCGGAAAGATAATGTTACTGCAGGCTCTTCGACATTGCCGCCTCCATATGACGGCACTTGGCTCTATACAACAAGTTCAAGGTGGATTTTTGACTACCTAAACTGGAGAACAAACATACTCACTATCCCCGCGATGCCAAAGCTGTGACCGGTGGAACGGGAGCTCCGGAGAACTTCGACTCTTTCAGTGTTTCTGTGAAGCATGAGCATAGGTATGACCCTGAGGGTCATTTTGAGTATAAATACACCAAGTTGCATGCTTTAATCCTCAGTTTCTGCTCAGCTGAACCACAATGAAAGCATCCATCTTAATCTTCGCTCTATTCGTCACTTTGACGAAAGCCTTGCCCTCACCTCGTGCTGCGGAACTCGAGGTATGTCCCAATTTTGCACCGTTCAACATTGGTTAATTTGCAACAGGTCAGAGGTGGCGGCGGCGGCGGCGGCGGCGGTGGTGGTGGTGGTGGTGGTGGTGGTGGAGGAGGAGGAGGAGGAGGAGGAGGAGGAGGAGGAAGCGGAAGTGGAGGTGGAAATCCGCCAGTAAACGAGTGCGCCGACCCAGCACTCGCAGTTGCTCTCTTGAGAGCATACCAACCGACATATGTGGATCACTTTTATACCACAAGCGCCCCTGAGATGAATAACGCTGTCACCAATCTCGGATACGACGCGGAGGGCACCACCGCATATGTCTTCACCTCCCAAGAGACCTTCACTATCCCGCTCTATCGGATGTACAATCCGACTGTCATAGACCATTTCTACACCACATCGTATTCCGAGGTGCAGTACGCAGCTGCAAATGATGGTTACGACTACGAGGAGATCACTGCCTATGTCTACAGCACTAACATATGCGGAAGTATCCCTCTCTACCGTCTATACAGCGCAGGTGGAACGGATCACTTTTACACTACATCTGCATCCGAGGCCAACAACGCTGCCACCAACCTTGGTTATACCTCGGAGGGTATAGCAGCTTATGTACTTGCTGCTCAATGATCTAACATGCTACTTACAAGTCTTTTCCATCGATTTAGCTTCATACTTCTTTTGATATGTGGGCATTGTGTACGTTACTTAGAAGTCGCTGTGGTTTGCTTTTCTTTTACAGTTCTTTGTATAAATCCGTGAAAACGGGAATTTTTTGACGCATGTGTGGTGCACCTGAGTTTCCCGACAAGTAAGCCTTATTGGGCTGGGTGAACACGCGTCTTGTACCCAGCCTACTAAGGCTTTGATGCAGCGTGAGCGCTAGCTGGTACAACAGAGGTCCCCTAGGCGCGGAGTAGCAGCCGCGTAAGCACCGTAGCTTAGTCAACCACATAGTCGGACTTTGTCATAGCGTAGATCTTCATCACTGTATTTCCTTGCCTTGCTCGCGACACGCAGGCACACTAGTACTGTCGGGTTTAGGCCACTCCAACGGCCATCACTGGCAGAGATTGTGCCTGCCTGCACCTAGGCCCTAGATCTTGGTATTTAGTTGGCTTCGGGATGGTCGAAGGGTTGGATCTATTCATCCCGTATTCGGTAGTGGTTTTCAAAAATCCACGCTGATAGTGGGTCATGCGATCATGCTCATCGACTCATCTGGAAGGTAGTGACAGCGACACGAGATGGACGCGTTACCTCAGCTGCCTAGATCGTCAAGCAAGATGTTTATGATAACAACCTCGTGTCTTGGGGCTTCTAGTGAGAACTTGTTACTTGATGCTATAAAGTCGCCCCAGTATACACCTCTACTATTTAGATCTCCCCACCAAGTCCACCCCGGCCGAGCTCAATACCGTCACGCTCCTGAAAATGACGCTGCTCATTCCAAGCACCATACCTGTTCGAGCGTTTGAAGATCATGAAGCACGCGTATTAGCAGTCGCAGTTTTCTCTGATAAACGACATATGGTCACATGCTCAGACAACAATATGCTTCGTCTGTGGGACTTGATGACAGGTGTGGTGTTGAAGAAGATGGAGGGGCATAGCAGTCCGGTGCATGCATTGGCAGGTATCACGGGATGGGCTTTTGATAGCAAGCGGTGATACTAATGGAGAACTCATTGCATGGGATGGAAAAACCGGCGAACGTCTCAGGGCCCAACCTACCAGTGCCCACACCGGTTGGATATTATCCTTGGACTTCTCGTCAGATGGCAAAGTGCTAGCCAGCGGGTCATCGGACTCGACGACAACTCTATGGAACACATTAACATGGAAACAGGAAGGAGATACAATTAGCTGTGGTACAAGCGTCCGCTGCGTTCGATATTCGCCGTCAATAGCACCACCAATTCTTGCCATTGCAACAGAACGCAGTATTCGAATCTACCACGCTGGCTACGACAGATGGGGCTACTATTCATACCGTAACGAATATTCATACAGCTATTCATACAACAACTATTCATACGACGACTTCGACTATTCCTTCCAGGCTCAGTGCAACGCAACGATCGGTCAAGGACTCCACAACTACTCACTCGCGTGGACGCCTGATGGACGCCTATTCACAGGGGGAGATCACCAAGATCCCACCATACGAGAGTGGGATTCATCGTGGAAGCAGGTCGGTGATCCATGGAAGGGCCATTTCAACACTATCCGTGCCATTTCCGTGAACCCTAATGGCACGCTCCTTGCCTCCGCATCTCATGACAACCGTGTCCGCCTCTGGCGGCTCTCAGATCGACGAGCCATTGCCATGTTCAAGCACGCTGGCGAGGTGAAACTGTGTAACGTTCTCCGCAGATAACAGGCACATCCTCAGCGGAGGTGTGGACAAGAAGATCTCGGAATGGCCAGCATCCGAGGACGCTTTGCCAGAGGATTGTCCAAAGGATGGTCTCATGAAGGAGCAGGTGACACACCAGGTAAGTTTGTTTTCAACTTCCCGCCCCTTCGTCGTCTGAGCATCATTCTTATGCCAAGGGTCAAGCCCACTCTGATTTTAAGGCATGTTCCTACCTTTGGCTCTGATAATGCAATGTGAGCATGCTTCACGCAGGTCCTCGTTATCAGCTCGGCAGCCCGCAATGCGTGCATAGCTGGGGACTTGGCTACAGCTGAAAAGGTCCTAAGTCTAGATATCAACGCCGGCGGTCACACCCCCTATGCTAATCGCGCAATTGTTATGACGCGGAAATGCGACTGGAACCACGCGCTTCATGATGCAATTCAGGTAAGAATATAGATGGACTGAACCATCATGCCCCCCTTACGAAATCTAACTTCAATGGTGACATAGTCCCTCAACATTCAGCCCTCATTTGCAGGCCATATCTCCAAGGGTATTGCCCTCTGCGGACAAAAGCAGATTCGGGTCGCGAGGACATCATTTGACCTCGCGTCCATGTTCACGAACGGAGATTCAAAGACGGACCAATTTCTTTTTTTCGTCAAGGCAGGTAATACTTTTCCTACATAAGTACTCCATACTTCATTGCGATCTCCAGACTATCGCACTTTTCAATGCAAATGAACATGAAGAGGCGATGCAGCGAGTCGAAGAGATGGCTCTGTTTCCCAATGCTGATCTTCTTGCTTGTCGTGTCGTAGAAGTGAGCATAACGCACACGATCACGCCCTAGATCTGCTACTGATATCTTTTTCCCTTCGTGCATCAGGCATTTCTACGCGTCCAACTAGGAAACATTGCCTTTGATGGCGCGCGCAACAACGAAGCTGTTGACCACTTCGCTGCTGCCATCAACGCTAGCGCTTTCTTTTATACATTGGACATTCATTCTATGTATGAGGAATTTATCATGGTACGTCGATATGTTGTACCCGAATATCCTTTTCGTATTGAACTGCACTTTTTGCAGCTGTTCGGCTGGGACCTAAAGTCCTTGTGGCAAACCGCGCACCAGCAACACTGCCATGCCCTGTTTCGGGCAGGCAGAATTGGAGCAGCCATCGAATCATTCCAATCCATCATGGAGAAGAGTGATGACACTATGAAAGCCTAGCATATGTGTGTGGTTCGCTGGTAAGCTCTCAGTAGTGTTACTCCGTCTACAATCCTCAACCGCACTTCACTTAGCTCTCCAGTAAAAACGAAGCTGCGCTAGATGCTCCGCTCGCCGCGATCGCTTACTCGTGCACCTTGAATTACAGAGATCCTCGAGCAGTTTTTCTCTGTACCTTGACAATATCTGTATGACGCACATAGCCTTTTGTATTCGTATCATAGTTCGCACCGTAGTGTCGGCTCACTTATTACTGTTTTCAAAACACTTGGCACAGCCGCCGCAACGATATTGCCATTTCTCCATAACCACTGCTCCGAATCTTATGATTCCTTAATGGAAAATTTCATGGTGCCCAGGGCTTTAAGTATCTTGCTTTCGCGGTGTTACATTCTGACTTGGCGAATTTTCCTGTTACTCCATTCAACCAACAGTCATTTCCCAGTTCATTATATCATGTCTCCCGGGGACGCAACCAGCTATATAAGTCGCATACATTGAGAATAGCAAGGTTATTCAATCGTGCACGCGCCCGTGGGCAGTAGACTGTTGGTGTACACTAAGGTATTTTTCCGGTGCCTGGGTCCCGTTTGAGGTCCAGGTCGTGTTCTCAGCGAGCACGCCGAGATTCTGTTCCCAGATCACAGGGGTCTCGATCGCACCTTGCAAGATCGCGGTCTCTTGATAGTCCGAGATGATGTGAGCGCAGAATCGGAGTGAACCAAGCTGTGCGTGACATTTGTAAGGCTGACTTATAGTTCGATGGGGAATTGGAACGAGAAGACGAGAAATGCGAGACGTGTCGTTTTACGACACGAAAGCGGGAACAACAAGAGAGTTTGTAAGGCTGGTGCTGTGAGGATCTTTTCGTGCTTGGAGCGGGGAATCAGAGTCTTGGATTCTGCTGTAGGTATGAGTGTACATTGGTAGTATATATACATTTTTGAATACTTGTTTAAACCGGATCGAGCGTGAAAATACTTGACGGCGAAGTGAAAATACTTGATGAAGGAACCGAGATGGTGTAATGTGAGCGCGAGGTAAGGTACTGAATGGTAAGATGAAAAGAGATATATCCGCGTGACTCGGATGCGAAGAGTAACGGAGTCACGTCGTCTTCGCTTTGAAGCGTGATCGGTGTGTAGAGGATATGCAATCCTTACACATTGCTGCCGTCTCAGACTGTGTTTTATACTGTGAGTGTCCTGGAGGAGAAATGAAGGGAAGACGATACACAAACACTCATGAAGTAGAGCGCCGGGACAGGTCAAGTCTCCATGGTTCATAAAGCCTGGTAGTTGGACCCGTACACTGAGGTGGGGACAAAAAGGTGATCCAAACCGATTACAATGGTCAAAGTAAGCGTAGTCGGGTTCCATGCCAACGAGAAACCATCGAGTCCTCTCTGAAGCGTTCTATACAAGTTATTGGTGAGCTGTCGAGATAGAGATGAATGGATTTCGAAGCAATATTTGCAGATAACTGGAATATCTTAAGACATGATTATTCTCGTTGGTCAGGGTTGTTTTCTTGCTGTCCTGCATGATGGTTTCCGTTCGTGCTAGGTATCGCACAGTGGATGAGAGTCTCTCACCTTGATCTGGACGGATTTTGCAGCCTCAACGATGTTCCTGTTCCCGACCTGTGCTTTGGAGAAAGCGAATCTATACATTGAATGAGCAATGTTCGTGAGCACGATTTACGTCGTCTACGGTTGGACATAGACTTACTGGTTTGTATAGGTCGCTTGCATCTTCAAGTTGTATGGGACTTAGACGGTGGATCATAG